GCGCGCGTGCTCAGCTACCAGTAAGTAATGTGTGCGTGCGTGTGTGTTCGGAGCTGTCTGCCTGCCTCACTCCATCTCCATTCTCTCTCTTTCTCTTTCTGTCTTTCTTTACCCCCTCCCCCGCTCTTTCCCTCTCTCTGTCTTTCTCTGCTTTTCTTTAATTCTTTGTGTATGTCTGTCTGTGAAATTATTAAAGTATCATTTACTTCTCTTCCAGCATAACTCGCTCATTGTTTTTGCTCTCTCTTTATTGTCTTTCTCCTGACACAGCTAGTAAAATATTTTCACTATATCACGGTTCGCCGATGTATGTATATCTCACTCTATTAGGCATATATGCACTTTCACCATTAATATCTCGTTGAGGTTTCCGTTGAAATGGCCATTTTTGTTTTACTTCAGGAATTCCATGGTGCTGTTGCTGTAAGTTGTAAGGACGCGTGTGTGCGTGTGCGTGTGCGTGTGTGTGTGCATGTGCGTGTGCGTGTGCGCGCATGTGCGTGTGCGTGCGTGTTTGTGTGTGCATGTGCGTGTGCGTGTGCGTGTGCGTATGCGTGCGTGCGTGCGTGTGTGTGTGTAGAAAGAGAAAATGTCTGTTCAGGCCATCGCTTAGCAATTTCTCATTCGTAGCCAACCCAGATCCGACGGCACATTTCACGAGAGCGACATTTTCGGAGTCAATCGTTTGGCGGTAAACGTCATGTGCGATTAACCAATAGGAAATCTTTTAACGTTCGGTTAAAAAAACCTGTATTAAGGGATTCTTGTCAATAAATGGGACTTACCATTTCCCACGAGGGGCAGTCGAAGCCACCTCTACAAAACGGACACCTGTCTATAAAGGACAACCTCTATAGAACGGACACCTGTCTATAAAGGACACCTCTATAGAACGGACACCTGTCTATAAAGGACAATCTCTATAGAACGGACACCTGTCTATAAAGGACAATCTCTATAGAACGGACACCTGTCTATAAAGGACAACCTCTATAGCAGAGACACTTGTCTATAAAGGACAACCTCAAACGGCCTATAGAACAGAACCTGTGCTTATAAAGGACAACACTAATATAGAGACGGACACTGTCTATAAAGGACAACCTACTATAGAACAGACACCTGTCTATAAAGGACAACCTATATAAACGGACACGCTGTCTATAAAGGACAACCTCTATAGAAACAGACACTCCCTGTCCCCTTATAAAGGACAACCTCATATAGAACGGACCCTGTCTATAAAGACATCCTCTATAGAACGGACACCTGTCTATAAAGAACAAACCTCGTATAAGGAACTGGACACCTGTCTAATAAAAGGACAACATATATAGAACGGACACAGCTGTCTATAAAGGACATACCTCTATTAGAACAGTACACGCTGTCCCTATAAAAAGGACGATACCTCTTATAGAAGGACACCTGTCTATAAAGGACAACACTCTATAGAACGGGACACCTGTCTATTATAGAAGCAACCTCTATAACGGACACCTTATATAAACGACATACCTCTATAGAACGGAGCACATGTCTATAAAGGAGCAACCTCTTATAGAACGGACACCTTGTCTATAAAGGACTAACCTCTATAGAACGGACACCTGTCTATAAAGGACAACCTCTATAGACAGCGGACACCTTACGCTATAAAGGACACCCTACTCTATAGATAGGCGGACACTCTGTCATATAAAAGGACAACCTCATATAGCATGGACACTCTGTCTTATAGAAAGACACAGACCTCTATAGAACAGACAGCCTGTCTATAAAGACACCGCCTAATATTGAACGGACACCTGTCTATAAAGAACACCTGCTCATATAGAACGGTCACCTGTCTATAAAGGACACACTTTGTGGGTTACCCTGAGTGGCCATCATGTACAGGTTTGGCTGTGTTTAGTTGGTGCAGTCGGTCCGGGTCGGCAGCCAATGAGAAATCATTTATGCATGGCTATGCTTCTATAGGTTGCTATACATACTTTCCGCTCGGATATTCATGTATGAATGCGTGCGCATGCGTGAGTTTAAATGAATCACACTAACTCTACGCGCGCGCGGACGTGTGCGTGGTTACTGATCGAAGCAATCTTGATGAATGCACTTAAGCAGGAGCCTAACTATGGCTGTGACGTCCCATCATAGAGGCATACAGGTGGCGTCGGTGTAGAGTCGAGTGCAATCGCATCAACGTTCAATGATGAATGCCTAGCGTTGGTTAACTGTCGTGTTTGCCGATGGGTAGAAGGAAGGAAGAAAGCTGCGTGTTCGGCCGGCTTGCATGCGTCCGTCGGGAAATCTGCGCTCGCTATGTACACCCGTATACCCGCTGGTGTTAGCTCTGGCTTCCCGCTTGACCGGCTGATTTGCAGCAGCTTGGGCCATGCTGAAATGTGATAAGAAGGAGCAACGGTCCTTATTGAAAGTGTGTCCTCCTTGGCCCATTACCTTCTATTTTTCCCGAGTCATTTCACTTTTACCTCTCTCTCTCCACTGCTCTCTCTACTCTCAGTCTGCTCTCTCTCCATCATCGCTCATCTCCCTCTCTCCTCTCATCTCTCTATCTGCTCTCATCCTCTCTTCTCTTCTCTCTCTCTCTCCGCTCTCATCCCCTCTCTGCTCTCATCTCTCTCTCTATCCTCTCTCTCTCTCCCTCTCTCTCTCTCCTGTTTCTCGTCTCGTCTCGTCCTCTCCCCTCTCTCTCTCTGCCTCTCGTCTTTATCTCTCTCTCTACTCATCTCGTCTCTCCTCGTCTCTCTCTCTCTTCTCTCTCTCTCTTCGCTCTCTCCTCTCTCTCTTCTTTCTCTCTCTTCTGTCTC